GCACGGCTACCGTCCGCCCTGTGCTTTTTCATCGTGACCCTGAGCGTGGAGCTGGTTCGGGGGGCCCTGCTGTGCTGCTCGCTGACTGTCGCCACGTGGTCAGCTCAGACGTCAGGTACAGGCCGTCGTCGGGCGGTCGCCAGTATTTCCAATAACGACTGCGTTACATGCTTGAAAACAAAAAATTGTGATCTTCTTCCTCTTCTTTAAGTCATTTTAAATTCCCTGATCTACCTTACCCCCTGCTTTTGTGAGGGTTGACACATGATTAGATTTCATTCCAGTATAGAAAGCTTAAGATAAAAAACCATAGGACTGGGTGCCTGGGTGGCTCAGTCGGTTAAGCGTCTGCCTTCGGCTCAGGTCGTGATCCCAGGGTCCTGGGATCAAGCCCCACGCGGGGCTCTCTGCTCTGCAGGGGACCTGCTTCTCCCTCTCCCTCTGCCTTTCTCTCATGAATAAATAAATAAAATCTTAAAAACAAACAAACATAGGACTTGTAATTCAGAAACAGGAGAGAACTGAACTTTTGAAGCAGAAGTCTTGAGAAGAATGAAAGTTTTCAAGCTATACAACTGTCTATAGAAAATCTTAATTTGGTTAAAACAAGGTATTCTTTAGTGAAAACCCCTTTTGATTTCTACATTGATCTGTTTTTGAGCTGCTTATTCTGGAATTATTTTTTTCTAAAGATTAAGTGAACTTGGCTTGAAGTGTTTGAAGCATATTTAATCTGCTTTAGGGTTGACTTACTCGAATGCACTTGGCAGCCAGGAAGCGTTTGAGCAGAGAGGTTGATGGCCAAAGTGAAACAGATGAGGAGACATCCTCTTCAGTCCCCTCCGTCCCCTCTTCCGAGTCCACTCAGTTCCGCGCCGAGGTAGTAAGGCCGCTGAAAGGTGGCTGGTTCCGAAGTGCCCGAGCGGGGCTAAGAGAGCTGGGGTGATTCTCAGTGTCGTGCGCATCCTGGCTCGTGGTAATGTTTCATATTCCTTTTTCATAATATTCCTGTTCAAGAATCCATTATTTCAAATACTGCTGTCAGGATCTGTCAGCTCTTGGTCAGTGCTGTGTGCCTGGTGATTCACGTCTCTTCCCTCATTTAGTCCTGCCAACCACTTACAGAATAGGTGTTTTTACCTTTCTCATACAGAGGAGGACGTTGACAGGGAGGTTACGTGATAGCTAGTCCTAGATAGGCTAGTGTGGGTTTCTCTGGAAGCCGAGCCTGGGGTGAGGATCTTGCTGCAGGTAGTTTGTGTGGGAGGCGGTCCCGGGGAGCAGGAGTGAGGACGCAGAGAGCAAGCATGGGAGGAAAAGCCAAGACAGGGATGTGTTATTAAAGTCGACGCTAGAGCCAAGGGGCTGCATTTCCCCCAGGATCTCTGGGAAGTGTTCAGAATGCCTCCTAGAATTATCCATGCAAAGGGTGGGAGACTGGAACATTGATACACTGATTTCTGGTTGAGAGCTGTTTTAATTCCCCAGAACTTCTGGGCTCTGTGGTTTGAGGTTCCCCAAGACTCCAAGAATAAGTAGTAGTAATGATGAGCAGAAATATGGAGAGACAAGGGAACCGGCGTCTGCAGGAAGTAGTCTCAGGGATATCTGCTAAAAGGGATAGGACCCTACCTGGACTGATTCCAAAACCTGTGCTCCTTCCAGACCATCTTCCTGTAAACAGACCTATGATATGGGGTTAGTTAGGGTGACATGGAAATACAGAGAATGCCCATAGTGATTTTATAATAGTGTGAAGAGAAGGCACATTGTAGGTGTAATGCCTGGAATTATATGAAGTGGGGAAGGTTTCCTTTTTGTTGGTGTGGCTTGGTTAATGCTAGTTTGTATTGCTTGCATGGATGTAGGTTAGAATACAAGAAGAATGCCCAGAATAGTCTAAGTACTGGAGACTATAACTGATTTGGGATCAAAAACCTACTCCATTGGGGCGCCTGGGTGGCTCAGTCAGTTAAGCATCTGCATTCGGCTTGGCTCAGGTCCTGATCCAAGTCCCTGGATCGAGGCCCGCATCAGTCTCCCTGCTCAGGGGGAGTCTCCTTCTCTGCCGCTCACCCTGCTCATGCTTGCTCGCTCTCGCTTTCTGTCTCAAATAAAATCTTTTTTAAAAAAACATATTCCATTATTGAATTTTTAAGGTATATCATGCATATAGGATTATGTTCTCAGCATTTGTGAAATATGGTGTTGAATATTGGTGAAGAAACTAAGGCAGAGCACACTGGCCCTCGTAGACCATTGTTCACTATAAGTTTTATGTATTTTTGTTGTTAAAAATCACTGCAGGGGCATCTGGGTGGCTCAGTCGGTTGGGCATCCAACTCTTGATCTCAGCTCACTCTTGATCTCAGGGTCATGAGTTCCATACTGGGCATGGAGCCTACTAAAAAAAAAAAATCACTTGGTAACACCCCAAGGATTTTTTATTGATATGTAATTGACATATAACATTGTGGAAGTTTAAGGTGTACGTGCTGATTTAATGCAAGCGTATATTGCAGTCTGATTACCACTGTAGCGTCCGCTAACACCTCCATCACCTCACAAAACTATCATTTCTTTTTTGTGGTCAGAACACTTAGGATCTAGTTTCTTAGCAACGTTGAAGTATATAATACAGTACTGTTGACTATAACCACAGTGTTTTACATGAGATGTATTCTAACTGCAAGTTTGTACCCTGTGACCCACATCTCCCCACTTCCCCCACCGCCTGGTCTCTAGTAACCACCATTCTACTCTCCGTTTCTACTAGAGTTCACATCTAAGTAGTGTGCAGGATTTGTCTCTCTCTGTCCGACTTGTCACACTTAGCGTAACGCCCTCAAGGCCTGTCCATAGTGTCACAAATGACAGGATTTCCTTCTTCCTCATGAATGAGTCGTATTCCGTTGTATGCCTATGGACGGACACACACACACACCCCCCCCACATCCATTCATTCCTGACAGACACTTAGGTTCTTCCATATCTTGGCTATCATGAATAATGCTCGAGTGCAGATAATTTTTCAATATGCTGTTTTCATTCATTTGGATATGTAATCCAGAAGTGTGAGTGCTGGATTGTAGGGTGATTCTATTTTTAATTTTTTGAGGAGCCTCCATCCTGTTTTCCACAGCAGCTGCACCAGCTTGCCTTCCCACCCACAGTGCATGGGGGCTCCCCTTTCCCCGCATCCTCACCAGCACCTGTTATCTCATGTCTTCCCAGTGATGGCCATTCTAGCAGATGTGACATGGTCTCTCTCACTGTGGTTTTGGTTTGCATTTCTGTGGTGATTAGTAATGTTTGAGCATCTTTTCGTGTACCTGTTGGTCATTTGTATGTCTTCTTAAGAAAAGTGTTTATTCAGATTCTCTGTCCATTTTGTAATTGGATTTTTTTTATTATTGAGTTAGAGGAGTTCTAACACCCCAAGGGTAAACTGTGGGGAATAATGTCTTCAGTGAAATTATTTTTCAGTGTTTGGGGCCCTCAGTTTATTCCACGACAGTAAGGTAGTGGACACGTTCTGTTCTGCCAAACTCAGCCTAGCGTCGTGTCTGCCACAAGGTAGTCGTTGCAAAATATTTGCGTAAGGGAAATACCTCCAGTTGTCGTTTTTTGAGTCTTCCACCGGTCCGATTTGGGCAGGGGCTGGAACTGATGCAGTTTACTTGCAGGGTCCCCGTGTTGCTGCCTAAGAGACCAGCACACGCTTCGTGGCTAAATAAACAGCACAGATGTCTCTGCTCACAGCCTATAGGACAGTCGGTCCAGGCCCCGGGCCTCACGGGCCGCCAGCAGGGTGCCGACCAGGCTGCACTGCCGTCCGGAGAGTCGGGGGAGGAACCCGCTTCCACGCTCGGTCAGGTCATCGGCGGAGCTTGCAGGAGGAGGTCCCTGTTTCTGCGCTGGTGGCCCCCGCCCCGGGGACTGCTGTCCATCCCTGAACACCGCCTGGGGGCCTTGCCGACCGGCCCCCGCGCTTTGGAGCCTGCACGGGAGGATGTCCCTGGTTACATCACTTTGTCCAGGAACAGTGCAGGGGCCTTGAAGAGCCGGGGCAGGGCAGGCCGGCCCGACGGCCTCTCTTTCTGCACATCAGCCATGCCACGGGGCCTAAGCTAATTGTGGCGGGGAAATCCGATGCAGTCATGGCCTGGGGGTCACACGGGGTTGTGCCCCAGGGGGCCGGGGATCTTGGGGGCCGTATCGAGTGGGTGCCCACTGCCGTGTGACGCCCAGAGGACCCGAGAATTCATGACCTGTGGCCCACGTACAGGGCAAACGATGGTATACGCCTGACCCAGTGTCTCCACAGGGGCGCGGAGGACGGTGAGGCCCCAGGAGGCCAGTGTGGGGTTCTTGCCGGCGTGCCGCCGACTGATGGCTCTTGCCTGCTCGTACGGACTCGGCCCCAACTTGAAGGGTCCCTGCTCACTTTAATCGTAAAGTTCTTTCAGCACGATTCCATTGACGTCGCGTGTCAGTATTGGGTTAATATTCCTGTCCCAAATTCAGATGGGCCCCGTGAAGCTCAGGAAGGCTGACGGATGTCGGGCAGCTTGCATGGCTGGTGAGCAGTGAAGCCCAGACCCCCCGTGGCCACTGCACCCCAGCAGCTGCGTCCTTGCTCCCTTACTTGGTGCTTCCTGTGCGCCTGGCTCCGCGCTGGGGGAGGGCAGAGGGCAGCCTCTGTCTAGGGCCCTGTCCGCCTGTCTGCCCGAAAGCTGTTCTGTACGAAGTGGGAGGTGTGCTGGGAAGGTCACTGCAGGCAGGAGTGGGGGGACAGCACAGGCAAAGGCACGGACGGCCAGGGCCTGGCACGCTGGGGACTGGAGGAAGGGCCCCAGACTGGGGGACGGGAGGCGGCCTGCGTCTCCGTCGGGGCACCGGCCTCTCAGCCTGGAGGCTCGCAGGAGTACGAATGTATTCCCGTTTCCTGTCTCCCCGCCCCTTCTCAAACCCTGACCCAGAGTGTTCTGTTTCCTTAGCTGAACTCGATGCCGAGCACACCCAGAAGGTCCTGGAAATGGAGCACGCCCAGCAAGCGAAGCTGAAGGAGCGGCAGAAGTTTTTCGAGGAGGCCTTCCAGCAGGACATGGAGCAGTACCTCTCCACAGGTTACCTGCAGATAGCGGAGAGGAGAGGCAAGTGGGGGAGAGGGTCGCTGGCAGCGGGGGACCGAGACCGTGTCACACTGCATCCCCCGGCCGGGTCGTGGGGCACAGTCCCCTGCAGTCCATTCTGGTATCAGTCCCCAAAACTCAGAGTGGATGCGTCATGCCACGTCTGTCTTGTGGTTTTTGCGCCTTCCTGTAGCTCTAGGCTTTAATTGGAGATACTTAGAAAACATAAAATACGTTTTATTAAAAACTAAAAAAGACCAACATTACCCTTAATTCTCCGGCACAGAATAATCTGTTACTATTTTCGGGGTGGTTCTTTCCCAGTCTGTGTACGTAACTGCTACCACAGCGTACCTACGTCCAGTCACTCCACGGGCATCAGTCCCCGTGTTAAGAATTCCTTAGAAGGGCGTGGGTTCAGAGGTGCGTCCTCACCGGCAGGATGTACGCTGTGCTACGTTTAACCAGCTTCCTAGCTGAACGTGTCGATTCTTTACCTTTATAAATGGTTGTGTGAGGCACATCTAGGTGCATAAATGTCTGTCTGCATCTCGATGGTTCCCAGGAACAAGCGGAGCAGGGGAGGCATCAGGGACGGAGTCCCTCATCCCACCTTTGAGAGCCGGGGGCCTACGTGGCAGCTTCCATTCCTCTCGGGCAGGAGCAGTGACGGCCAGGCCTTCTGGGCTCACCTGCCCCTCAGCGCCCCAGAGACCCCCCCGCCTCCCCAGATCTGACTGTCCTCAGCCTCCCTGGGCTCCCCCGCCCCTCACCACACCCCCCGACGTACCTCACGCTCTTCCTTCCCTTTCTATCCTGTGGCCTCCCCCAGGAGAGGCTAAAGAAATCAAAAACAAGGAAGGAAAATAATGCAGAGAAAACTGATGAGAAGTAATATCTGAATGCCTTGGAAAGCACCAGAGGACGCGTCGGGTGGCTAAGGCTTTCTTGCAGTGGGTCGGACAGGTTTGAAGATGAGCGTCTTCGTCTCTCTGGACTTGGCTTTCCCTGTTGTATGCCTCCGACCTAAAGTCTGTCTTCATCTAGGAAGGTCAGGCTGCCCGTTTCCTCAGAACACGCACGCTATTCCTTTGCTCCAGGGTTTGGTGCTGGTTATGGAGTGAGCGGCCCGTTTGCTGCAGGGATGTGGGTCCTGTCGTGTGCAGGGGTGAGGAGGAGGACGTCTCAGTGTGAGCCCCTGTAACAAACCCCCAGACACGGGTGGCTTAAACCGCGGGCATTTATTTCCCACAGTTCTGGAGGCTCAAGTCCAAGATCAAGGTGCCGGCAGGTTCGGCTCCCAGGGGAGAAGCCCTCTTCCTGGGCTTGCATCTCGTCGCACCCCCACGTGGCAGTGAGAGCCCCCCTCGGGCATGTCTTTGCGGAGGACGCTAATCCCCTTAGGGGAGGCCCAGCCCTCCCCACCTCATCTCAGCCTGTTCGCCTCCTAAAGGCACCCCTTTGTGTGGTCTTGAAAGCACTGAAGAAGAAAATTGGAAGATTTGGGCTTTTTCGCTTTCTGCTGCAGCCAGAGCTGGAAGGACATTTGCAGATAACAAGCATCTCTCCACAGGGCTGTTGGGAGCCGTCCCTTGGGCTTCCCAGCCTGGCGAGTCCCACACGCCTGTCTTCCCCAGCAGTCCTCTCCCAAGGATGAACGTGGGGAGGTCTCGTGTAGGAGAATCAGTCAAGATAAAAAAATCTCCATAGTGAACATGGTATTTTGGACTCCTTCCACTAAATCAGAAATAGCAGTCTGAATTTTTCTCACTTTCCAAAGCATCATTTTTTAATGAAGACAAAGGCATGGGAAATTTTACCCAGAAAAGTATCCGAGTAAAGGGTAAAGGGACCTCGGGCGACCTGGGTCGGGTGAGGCTGGAGAACCCGCAGAGCGTGGGGCGTCCCGCACTTGGAGACACAAGGGCACCACCAGATGTGCCAAGCCTCGGAGGGGAACTGGGAGCCACTGGCGCCCAGCGGGTCTGAGTGCAGTCCAGGCACAGCAGCCTGGTGTGGTCCAGACCTGGCTTCAGTGGTCTTCGTTGCGAGCCAGGGTATGTTGAGGGTACAGCTAGTAATGAATAGATCACCTTGGAGACGCCCTGCTCTGTATCTGTGTTCCTACAATGGATCTCCGGCTCCCAAGGGGGCCCTGTGGAGCTCAGCAGAGTCAAATCCTGGAGCCAGGGGTGTCCCCCTGTGCCCTGACTCAGCCCTTGGATGTTCCAGGATGGACTCAGTGCTTGGGAAAGAGAAGGAAAGGATGTGTGGGCAAGATTAGCAAAGTTAGAGGAGAATTAATAGATAAAAATGCACCAAACTAGAATTCATATAGTGTCTTACCCGCCCCCCCAGGATACTATCTTGAGTTGGAGGAGTGTCTCAAACACAGTCATCAGCTTATGGATTTAACTTTGTATAATTACTTCCCCGTGAGGGTTTTATTTAGAAATAAAATTTTTATTGGAAATTTACTCTGATCCATTACTGGCTTTCATTGAATTAGGAAGTATTTTAATATCCAGAAAAGAACTGAAAATGTCCCATACTTCTGTTTCCAGATTTAGCATTTTAATGTTTTCCCAGATTTGCTTCAGATATTTTAAAAAATGTTATGAAATATTCCAAATATACACAGAGGTGTAAGGAATAACATAAACACCCATATACTGTCTCAAAACTCATCTCTTGCAGTGCATTACTTTGGAAAGTGGACTTTTGTGACTGACTTGATAAACTATTGGTATATTTTCAAAAAAAAAAAAAAAAAACACCCATGTACTAACCACCCAGCTCAAGAACTAAGAGCACCCATACCAGTGAGGGCCCCCCTCCAGAGGGACCAGCCGCGCTCCTGGTTCCGGCCGCCTCGGCTGCGCGTAGACGCAGATGGGTGCTGCACTGCATGCTGGCTTTCTGGGCACGTATTCTGACCATTGTCCATTCCGGCTCATTTCAGCCTCATTTGTTCCTTTTCACTCTTAAATAATTTCCAGATCTACTGAATGAATATATGGAAATCTATTCATTGTGTCGATGGTGTTTTCGTTGTTTCAGGTTCTTTCTCACTAAAAACACCACCGTTAAGAAGGATATTCCCGTGCGTCTTGGTACATGTGAGGAGAGTTTCTTTAGGGCCGTGGGTCTTAAACTTGAGCCAGCCTCACCGTCACCAGGAGGGCTGCTCACACGGGGGCTGGCCCCACTCCAGGGTTTCTGATCTAGTAGGTCTGGGGTGGGGCCTGAGAATTCGCATTTCTGACCAGTTCTGGGGTGAGGGAATGCTAGAGGCTGCTGGCCCTGGGGGCCACGCTTTGAGAACTGTTTCCTTAGGGTGTATCCCGATGATAGTAATTACAGAGTCATTTGATGTGCTTATCTTTATTTTTACTAGATGGTCAATTACCTGCCAAAATCCCCATACCCGTTTACAGCGTCCCTAGCAGTATGTGCATGTTCTGATCACTCCTCATCTTTGTCAATACTTGTTAGAGCCAGAGATTTAAGTTTTTGCCAACCTGTACGAAATGACCTCTTATTTGGGTTTTGATTTGCATTTCCTTGATTGTCCGTAGTCTTATACCCGTGGTATTGGCCTTTCATGATAATCCGAGGCCGTCACCTTCATTTGACCCATGGCTTATCGATCCTAGAGTGGCCTTTGCTCAGTGTGTGTTTATTTTAATGTGATCAGCTTTGCCCATTTCATTGTGTATGGTTTGTCCTTTTGCGTCTCGCTCAGGAACTCCTTCCCTCCAAGTAACACACAAGTAGAACTTGGCTAGAGCTGCAAGTTATAAGAACATCCTACTGTGTTTCATTTGTAAAGTTTCAGTGTTTTCCATTCCATACTTGGCTCTTAAATCCACCACCAGTTGGTCTTTCTGCGGATCGTGAGGGAAGGACCCAGTTTTGGTACTGTTGTCTCCACCCCAGCATTCTTCCCCCACTGCTGCTGGGTGTCTTGTTGCAGTGGGGCCTCTGTCCTAGGCCCTCTTCTCCGACCTGTTCTTCCGTGTGTCTAGCCTGGAGCCCCAACCGTACCATCCGAATTCTTCAGTAAGCAGCGGTTCTCAAGCGGGGACAGTTTTGTCCCCTGTCTGCACCGTGGTGGGGCGCTCGGGGCAGGGGCATGCTGCTGGCATCTAGCAGACAGACGGACGGATGCTGCTGGCCATCCGCCAGTAGACAGGACAGCCCCACGACAAAGAATCCTCTGGTCCAGGGTGTTGGGGCCTCAGGTGGAGTGTTTCATGGCGAGTCCTGCACACCCCTGCACACGTTGGCGCTTTCTCGCTCCTTTGTGGTTGCCTTGGCCTTCTGGGCTCTTCGTCCTTCCGTAGAAACGTGGGAGTCCGATTTCCAGGTCCTGTGAAAAGCTCCCTGAAGACGTTGGCTGTAGTTGAGTTCAGCTCCTACACGGAGGGAGCACCACCCTCCAGGAGCCCTGCTCTGTGCCCACGTGCAGCAGCTCTCCTCACTTCTCTTCCCCGGCGTTCGGGGAACGTGCCTCGGACACTGCTGGGGGGCCAGTCCTCTCTGTGGCAAGAGCTGCCCATGCTTTCCCTATGATAGTTACAGAGGTTTCCCGTTTCTTAGTAGTTTTAGCAAGTTTTCCACGGAATCTGTCCTGCGCATCTGTAGTTCGCAAATACGTTCGCACAGTGGTGCCTGCGGTGCACGTCTCCGTCTCTGGCATTCGGGGCAAGCTTTGCTTCGGCCTCCCTCAAATTGCTCGTTTGTGCCATTGACCCCTTCGTGATGAATCTTACCCAGAACATCTGTTTTTAAGTGTTTTCTCAAAGACTCAACTTTTAGTTTTGTTTTCTTTTGAATCTTTAGTTCATGAAGTTCTCTTCCTCAGTGCTGGGGATTTTCAGGTGGTGGTCTTTTGGGTTTTGGTCTAATTTAAGTTGGCCATCTGTGCTTGATTTTCAGAATTCTTGTCTGAATAAGGCAGAGCTATGAATGTTTCACGAGGTTAAAGTTCACCCCTTTTAACAGAATTCTACAAGTTTTGACAAGTAATAGTTCTTCCTGGGTTTTTCAGATTTTCCATTATGACTTATTTGACTTGTGAACTGTTCAGAAGTGTCTTTAAATAATGCGTGAAGGTGTTTCCAGTTACCGTTTGTTACTGATTTCTAATGAACTTCCTTGTGGTTGTCAGAGAACGGGATTTTGATTTTTTTTAATTCAAGACTTAAGAGTTTGTCTGCATGTTTCATGTATATTTGAGAGCAAGATTCTAAATGAGAGGGTTCTGCGTGTACTCATTGCAACAGGCTTGTAAGTTGGGCTGTTCAAATATTCCCTATCACTAAATTTTATAGCGTTTGGTTATGTAATTATCCAAGAGGTATATCAAGCCCTCCTTCCCCTCATAATTATGGATTTCTTAGATCTTCTTTGTCTGCCATTCTTTAAACGTAGCCAGAAATTATATCATCACACAGAAATTTTGAATTGTCCTCCTGGCGAACGGAACCTTTACTAAGTACTACACTTTACCCCAGTATTTTTGCTTTCCCTTAAAGTGTGTTTTGTTTCCTATTAAAATTACTGTGTCAGCTTTCACGTTATCTACTTTCCATTTTTCTTAAGCTTTTCGTGTGTTTTAATGTCCTTATGTTTTAGGAGTGTCTGCTAGGAATGAAACATAGGTAGATTTTAATCACTTTAATTCAGTCTTATAACCTGTTACAACTGGCAAATCTGATTCATTTACATTTCCTGGGCTTACTGACATACGTGGCTTCATTACCATCTTTCTTGGTGCCATTCGATGCTTGTTAATCCAGTTTTTCTCAAAGTCCTACTCCTGTTCTCGAACAGGACAGGACAGACCGAAAGGAAAGGGAGACTCCGGACCTTTCAAAACTGCAGCCAAAGCAAGGCCAGTAGCCACAAAGGCCGTGCTGACAGGCCTTCATACCCATAAAGGAAAACCTGCCTGTTTCCAGCCCAGCGGCCGGCACCCCCATGGGGCCCGCATCTGACCAGTGGGCACAGTGGCCCTGACCGGTCGGGCTGTGACACAGCAGGACTGCGAGGCCGTGACCCAGTCCACACCGTGGCCGAGTCCATGCTGACCACGTGGCTTTGGATGTTGCCGTTTCGGGGAGGTCACCTAAGCTTGAGTAAGCTCCCTCCAGCTTAGGGACAGAAGTGTTTTGCTCTTTACTTCGAATCTTAGGGTGACCGTTAAGGGTGCCGTGCCTCAAGATGATCCGGTCCTCCCTCCCTCCCTCCCCCGCCCGGTGCAGGGCCTCACACCGCGTGGGCTCCCCACATACCCCCTGCGGCTCCTGTCGCCTGCGCTCAGTCCTCTAGTACTGGGTACGCTGTGACCAGCTGCCCGGCCCCTTCGGCCCTGCGTGCCCAGAGCGGCTTCACTTGGCGAGCTCTGACTGAGCTTGTGTCTGATCCTTGATCTTAAATGCCACTTAATGTTCTAGAATCTTAGAGATGACATTCATCTCACCTCTTTGAACTTCTTACTCCACGGTCTCCTGGCTTCTGCTGTTGAGAAGCGGTCAGACTATTTCCTGTTCTTTCCTCATCTGTCCCTTCTCTCTGCCGTTCTCCACTGATGGAGGTGAGGATTGCTTTTATCTGTCTTCCTGAATCTGGTCTGGAAAATCAGCCCCGTGGACTGTCACTGCTCCCCAGCATCTGGTCCTGGAGCCCTGACGGTGTTCAGCGTTTGCGTTTTCCCGCTGTTTCTGGACTGTGTAGGGGAGAGTTGATTCAGTCTAGCATGCTCTTGTGGACTTTGGCCCTCACTCATCTTCCATTTAACTCCTGCCCAAAGTTCTACATTTTGGTGACTAAAATGTTCCTATCTGAAAGTCATTTGGCTTCTCTCAAATGTTTGTCTTTTAACCCGTTTTTTTGATTCATCTTTAAGTTCATTAAAATACTTAAGTCATTTAAATTAAATGGCAGGGGGTGTTACCCCACGTGTGTTTCTGCTGACCCTCCTTGTGAGTGGCAGGGTCCCGCGTGCCGTAAGCGCTGGGCTGCGCCGAGTTTGTGTGTCTGCATAACTGGGAGACCCAGGGCTGAGGGTATGTCCGCATCCAGAAATATTTCATTTCTGCCGGACACTGTCACGCCTGGGATGGTGAAGCCAACGGGCTTGCGGTTTTCTGGGCCACAGAGGTAGTAGGAATGGGGCTCCAGACCAGGGGGCCGCGTCCCCCGGGGTCCAGGCTCACTCGCAGTCGTCGTCTCCTCTTGCCCGTGGGCCGACTTGACTTTCCTGTAGTCTGTGCTTTCACTGCAGGGAGTTTGCGGGCCTTGCCCAAACCTCGTCTGCTGTTTCGAGCAGGGACTAGAAAGAGGCCACCAGGGCAAGGATAGCTTCAGCCGGGGTTACCACGTTTTGGGGCATCTGCAGGCAGGAGGCAGAGCTGTGGTGGCAGGAGGGCTCTTGGAAACAGGGCCCCGCTCAGCAGCGAGGATGGCTGCATGCAGGGGCGAGCTGTCTGGGGCACCTGCAAGCAGGAAAGCTGCCGGAACGGGTCCCCGGGCATCAAGGCTGGGCGAGGAGGGAGTCGCAGCGCCTCGCCGGGAGGGGTCCTTGCTCTGATTTGGAAGGTTCGGAATGGCAGGAACTTCTGTCTCCTGAGCATGTTAGCCTAATGCACTCAAAGCTCACCTCTGAAAGGGTTATTCAAGACCGAAGGTGTCACTTCCTCTCGCGCCCGTGTCTTCCCAGAGCCCATGGGCAGCATGTCGTCCATGGAAGTGAACATTGACATGCTGGAGCAGATGGATCTGATGGACATCTCTGACCAGGAGGCCCTGGACGTCTTCCTGAATTCCGGCGGCGAAGACAACACGGCACTGTCTCCGGTCTCAGGTGGGGGTGACCAGCTCGCACGCACTGTCACACTCATACTCGCACCCTCTCCCCCCAGAGGGCAGCCCTCTGAGGACTGTGGTCAGCCCGTGCCAGCCCGAGCTCAGCTGCTTGTCCTGCTGCCCGTCAGCCACCTGGCCGAGACCGTGAGCGCGGCCCACACCCCCTCAGGGGCCATCGGGCTGCATCAGGGCTCGGAAGGCCGTGGGAGTCAGGCCGTCGGGCCTGACGTGGGACCGGGGCTCCCGCAGGGCTTGAACCCCCGCCCCGCCCGCCCCCAGCACGTGCTTCCTGGAGCTCTTGCTCCGCCTGGGCTCTGGTTTGGGTGGTGGCTGCACCCCCGTGGGCACTTGTCCTCTACACACCGCCTTCCCCAAACTGTGTGTCACGGAAGTGGGGCAGACGATTTTCCGAGGCCCCAGCCCTAGAGCCGGGCTCAGCGGGACACCGTCCCTCAGGCCCAGGCGGGGCCTGCTCATATGCGGGTAAGCGCTCTCCTGTCCCCTCCGGCCAGGGCCACCCCCCAAGCCCCAGCTTTCCCGTCAGCGGTGCTGCCTTTAACTTCGCCACGAGGCAGCGCTCTCCCCCGGCCGTTGTCCCGGGGCGCCGAGGCGGGGCCGCTGGGAAGGGTGGGAGTGCTGGCCCCGTACCCTGGAGTCAGGAGGACGCAAGCCGTAACTCGACCAGCTGCACGTGACTTGGCCTCCTTTCAGGCCTTTGTAGTTGCCGTGAAGTTGGAGAGCCACCAAAAGACCGGGGGGGTTTTCTCTTAGCGTTGATCCTCCAGGGTTCCTCCCAAGGATATACGGAAATCCAGGTTACGGCGGTGACACAGGCTGCGGCTCGAAGAAGTGCCGCCTGTGCCTTAAGCCCTGGGCTTTGCTGGTGTGGAAGGCGGGCTCAGCTCGGGGCCCTGGCGCCGCCAGCTCACTCGGCAGCGCCCGGGTGCTGGGACTGGGCCCCCCGGACTGCGTGCGCATCTGGATGGCCTTCCGTGGTACTTCGCCACTGCACCGTCTCCATGGCCGTTTCTCTTCACTTCGCAGGGCCCGCCTCGGGGGTCGGCCGGCACGACATCACTCTCCAGGTCCCAAGGGCCGCCGAATCCCAAGCTGCGCGGCCTTCCTCGCTGTCCGTCTGCCCCGAGCTGGCTGCCCCGGCCCCCCGCGACCGTGGCGAGTCCCCCATCGTCCAGTCTGACGAGGAGGGCGTGGAGGCGGACACAGCCCTCGCCACGTTACACACGGACGACAGCGACTCCTAGGTCTGTGTGCTCCCACCGTGTGTCCCCTCACTGTGCAGGCAGGTGGTTTTTACCCAGTTTGCCAGTAATGTGTGAGAAACTGACTGTAAGAACAGCTGACAATAAAGTTCGTACGGAAGGGCTTCTAGCTAGAGCCGTCCTTCAGGCCTTCGGGGCAGGGAGGGCAGCTTGGGCCCCGCGGACCACGGAGGGGCCTGCGTCTGGCAGGGCTGGGCCGGGAACCCTACGTCCCTGGCTCGGCCCAGTGTGGAGGTTGGAAGCCCTTTGGAGAGACTAAATCTGCTTCCTCCACGGTGTAGCCCGAGTCCGCTGGGGTTTCCCTCTGTGAGGACAAAATCAACACCCCGCAGCTGTCCCTGCTTTAACATGAGCACACACACCTGCGCCCAGAGGAGAAGGATCCATCATCCAGATCACTTCTCTGTTCCTCCTCCTGCCGGGAAGCTGGCCACCCGGCGGGGCCCCCTTCAGCAGTGCTCCCGGCCCAGCCTGCTGGCAGGCTGCTCGGAATGGAAGAGCTCACAGCAGCCACGGGGGCCCCCGTTCACCTGGGGGGGGGGGGGGGGTGCAAGCCACCAGCAGAGGCTTGACTCCCTGGCATTGGGGGGGGGGGGGGGAGGGGGGTTTGACCAGAGAAAAGCGACCTCGTTTCATTCATCTTCCACAAGACAGACAAATATCCAAAAAACTTTTTATTATTAAACCTTGTAGTACAAACCTGAAAAGTAAACAAAAAACTGGCAATAAACAACATGAAGTCCTCCCTCCCGCGGGAGGGGTGCAGAGCAGCGCTAATAAATTAATTAAATGTCAAACTGTAAGCCAGAGGCAGAGTTTACTGTCAAAAAGAGGGAAAGTACACAGCAAGGCCATAAAAACCGGACAACCACATTGGAAAACACTTGACTCTGTTTATGTAATTGTTAAATATTCCAAAAACAGTTCAGTCTTCTGCAACAACAACCAACAAAGTGTAGCACAGGACGCTCCTGACAGTCCCGCTGACAAGCTCAGTGCAACAGGGGCAGCTACGGGCTCGGTGGGTCCAATTACGAAACAAAGAACAGCTTGTGAAAACAGTTCCCTTTTTTATTCCACACATACTGTACACACAACCGGAGAAGGGCAACAGCTACTCCATTATTATTTTGTTGTTGTTGTTCAGTGATGTAAGCAGCACTTATAAATGTTACAAGAAAAACCCTGTAAGCATCCAATCCACCCGATGAAGAAACGGAAACGTAAGGCTTTTCTTCATCTTGTCTTCGCGCCCTCCCCACCCCCCCACCGAGAAAAAGGCTCAAGTATTTAAAACAATTTACAGGCGTATGTACAAAAGGGATGGGATTCTTTTTTTTTTCTTCTTTCTTTTTGTTACAACATGAAGAGAAAAAATAGACAAGATGAGCGCAGATGCATTTTCACATTCAAACAGAACTGCAGACCTCCTAGTGGCTTTGAGTGTGACCGTCAACAAGACGAACTGAAGAGAGAGATTAATGCTGACGCGTGAAGGTGGGGAACAAGCAGTGAGATGGAGACGGAATGTTAGAAAGATTGCACATCTAGGACAAAGAAGCACTTACGGCTTCGATCGCTTTTTTTTTTTTTTCCTTTTTTTGTTTTTCTTAAGGATGCTATTGAAGGGTTTTTGATAAAGTAGCCAACAGCACCAAAAAATAACAGAATGGATTTCCTAATGAAATCAGGCACAGGTGTCCCTCACGTGACCCCTCCAAGGCAGGCAGTCGTCTTCGCTCGCTCTCCTCTTTCCCAAAAACAGATGCATAGTGATGTGCTGGTAAAGAGAACCTCGGCGCTCCTCTTCGCGTTTTGCCTCGGGTTAGGAAACTACGTCCGCCTTCAGCTGCCATGACCTCCCCAAGACACAACATGGGGGTTCTCCGGTTTTAAAAACTACAAACTCGTTTTGCACATGACAGAAGAAAAGACAGCCAGAGTAAAGCCATTTCTTTTCAAGTTTTGTGTGTGTGTGTCTCCTATCCCTTTTCCTCTCTAGAAAAATCTGCTCACATGACTGATGGTTTTAAAATTTGTTCTCCAAACTTCACCCTCTTCAAAAATGGGTTAAAAAGCCTTTTTTCCCCAAGTTACCAAAGAAAACAAAACAAAACAAAACAAAAACAAAACAAAAAACCGAAAAGGCGTTTTTCAGCCACAGGGGCAATACAAATTAATACGGCCCCTCAAGGGTTTTTAAAACAGTGAATATACGGCAGCTTCAAAACTCTGACTGCAGTATCTAGGTATTCTAAGTACAAAAAAAAGTTCAACAGTTTAATGCTAAAACAAAATCAGTTCTCTAAAACCAGAAGAAAATCTTCTTTAGAGCTAGTGCAAAGACAGCTTGAATCCTACAGCAAGTACTCCAAACTAGAATATAATAATTACAAAAAAATATCTATCAGTCGACACGGCTGTTGGCATCTTCACGACGAGCTTGCAGCACTTTTGGATGAACTGGAGGATGAAAGCCGGGATGGCGGCACGTCCACAGTCGCTCTCTTGCGGGGCCCTCTTTTTGGTGTCGGTTTACTGAGACAGTTCTCAATGCTGCCGTTCTTACCAGATACTTTGCCACAGATCTGGTTGACCAGACTGATGATCTGTTCCTGTTCCGGGTCGAAAGGGAGAGAGAATTAAGAAACCGAAGACCACCGTCCCAGAACCGCCCAGGGCACGCTTGGCGCCGACTCCCCATTGCACAGCGAGCCTGGGGCAGCCGAGGGGCCCCTCCAAGCGTGCTTCCTGGAAGCTGGGCGAGGCCCCAACGGCTCCCTGGGCCCTTCTGAGCGGCAGCGCGAGAACCAGTGAGAACATCGCTCAGGGACAGTGAGGCCCCCTCCCTGGCAGCTTAACACCCATGAAGTCCCGTGACTACAGGCAGCAGGGAGGACGGCGGCCCCCTCGCCGCCGAGCCACAGCCGCCCACACAGGCGTGGACGACAGCGGGCGCTGTGGGCCCTGTGAGCCCGGCTCAGCCTGCACCGCGCGTTGGGGGGGGCGGGGGGGGGGGGCGCTCCAGCCTGATACTCTAGCCTCCCTTCAGCGGGTCTGCTCATCGATACGCTGGTACTCCCACCCAGGCACTGGCCTCAAGGATGTGCGCAAGATCCACACAACTCCCAAACCATCCAGTTTTACAAGAAACCATGCGCCAAATTATCAAAATGGCAGATGGCCTAGCCTGCATGTCATGAGCACCCGCCCTGGACCAGGGATGGAAGAAACCATGTGGACAGGGGGGCGGCAGAGGCCTTTCCTTTACTCAAAGGCGTCCCAGGCTGGCCCTCCAGCACCAGGAGGCTCTCATCACAGGGGTGGAAGGTCTCAAAGGGGAAGTGAAAACCGTCTGGAAAGAAAGTGAAAAGCACCCTGGAAGGAGCCGGGCCGCCCGTGTATGGAAGCGCCGTCTCTGGCCGTTTTTAAAAGCACTTTATGGCAAACCTAATCGAGGGTAAATAGAGGAGCTTCTTTAAAAGCTGGTTCCAAGTGGCTGAAGCCTCCTGGCAGCACGGGGCCAGGCAGCGCCCTCCCTGCGTCCCACCAGACGGCTGCCAGGAGGCCCGGCGGCTCCCCGGGCGGCCCAGGAGGCCTGACCAGGCTTGCGGGACGTGCAGGGTCCTCACAAGCCATTTCTAATACCCAACCCAGAGTGAGTATTGCCCAGGGAATAACGTGTGCACGCACACACACACACACACACACACCAGGGAACAAATGAACACACACACACACACCCCACACACACCAACCCGAGAAGGAACGGATTCAGATTTACCAAGATGAAGCCGCTGACAAAGGAGGCGGCTTCGAATGCCCTTCTTACTCCTCAAAACCATTAAGCTTCAAGAAGAACCCGACAGACGTGATTCTCTGTCCAGTGATCTGGTCCCACACACCACCTGGCTACCCAAGACGGGCAGAGAGGGGCGAACCCACGTTCTGCAGAGCCTCACGGCCGGGTGGCGGCGCCCCGTGAGCTCACCGGCCCGGGCTCGGCGTCTGCTGCCGACACGAAGCACCAGGGAGGCCAGAGCGCCTGCTGCCTTCAAGCTCCCGCTTTAAAAGCGAGACCCCCGTCTATTTTCAGCTTTTCCATCCCATCAGCCGAAGGCTTCCCCCCCCCCCAGGCCCACAGCCTGAGCCCCGCGGATGCACCATCCCCCCCGCCCAGTCCCGCCTGGGGCTCTGTCGTGTGGCATGTGAGGACAGTCCCCTCCCACAGAAGCAGCCGCAGGGTGCAGGACAGAGGCTCCGTGGGGAGGGGGTCTGTGGGAGGGGGACCCCCCCCAAGACACAGCGCGAGGGCCTGGCGGACGAGCGTGTGCTGCCCAGGACAGGTGATAGAGCACCACTGTTGCTGGAAAGGGGGGCCCCCAGGAAGGGCTCTGGGGCCGTCCCAAGGTGAGCGGTGCGTCTGAGGGGCAGGGCCGCGCACCCCGGGAGGCTGTGGGGTGAGGCGCAGAGGCGCGGGCCTGCTGCCTATGTGGGGACAACCCCGGGCCGGGGGCGCCCGCTCCCCCCAGAAGCACTGCCGTCTGTGGCCACAACCGAGCCACGGAGCCAGGGCTGCAGATGGTGTCCGCCCCCGAGGACAACGGGCCAGGGCAAGGGACGGAGGAAAGGACCACAGGGAACACGAAAGCACGGCCCCTTGAACAAGGACGGAGGCACAGAAGCGACGGGAACCGACCGGGCCCGGGATGCATCTGGAAGGTGGACGGGACTTGTGGAGTTGGATGCCAAAGGAAAAAGGCCCCGAGTGTCCACTGAGGCCCCTGAAGAGGACAAAACCGGCTCCCAGCTTCCAGAGCTGGCCCTTGGCCTCGTGCCCTGCTGGGGGCGCACCCGGTTCTCAACTGGAGATGGGACGGAAGAGGCCAGCGCAGTCTGCAGCCCACACAAGGCAGGCGGCCCCGCAAAGCACTCCCACCGCCCCCCGACCTGGCACATGCTCATTCCCGGGGCACGGACGGACGCAGGGGAGTCTCCCGCACGGGGGCCCTGCCGGACCCCTGCAGGCCGCCCAGTGGGGGGAAGGGACACAGAGCCGGCGGAAGGACAGGGCTAATTCCCTTGTGTCTCAGGAGCTCCGCGG